AACAATTTCTTCTCCTAATCATCTGTTTGAAGCCACCAAACTTTTTGCCATGCTGTTTCTAACTGAGGTTAAAATATATAACCAATAGCCCTGATGACTATTTTTAAGCATTTCTCCGTCCCACCATTTGGTATTTGTGCATGATTAAAAGCTGTGTTTCCAACCTGTAACAAGTGTTATAAAACTACCATCTGAACATTAGTGTATCAAAATGTTCAAATATCTGAGAAGTATTTTGAAATGTTGACTATATATTTATACATAGCAAAACTACATCGAGGATGCCATAATTCTTAGATGAAGCAGAACTACTCTAGTGATAAAGCTGACAGAAGATAGAAGTTTAATTCTTCCAATACTTATCATGTGACAAATGAACCTATAAAAATAAAATTAATACTACATCTCACCATGAATCAATTAAATCTTCTAAAATAAAAACCACTATACTAACTCTGAATGTAATTTAAAACTAAATGTAACTTAAAACAAAGGGAAAAAAAAGGACACATTGCATCTACTTCTCATCTCTGCTCCAACAGTAATTCACACCCTAGGTATGTCTCATTAAAAAACACAGTAGGTGTACTCTGTAATAACAATACTATGATACATTCAACCATGCTAACAGCAGTCTTTAGAATCACCTGAAGGAAACATTATGAAAATAAAAGTGTTGCTTCAACTTTTATATCTGGAGCTAAATTGCGAGTCTGTAATTCATTGGTAGCAGCTTACTGCTAAGAAGGGTATTAGAGTAAATCAGTATTTCTATCATCACAGCTAAATCGGACTTAAGAAAAACTGGCCTAGCTGAAGTTACAGCCTGTCTAATCCTCAGTTTTCCCATCTGGGAAATGTGGAGAGCAATATTGACTCTAGGACTGTTTGGATAATGAATTTAGAATGGTATGTGGTACTTAATGAATAGACAAAAATTAAGTGCTATTATTTTTTATTAGTTCAATATTGTTTTTAGTACTTACAATGATGACTGATTTATATAACAAACTGTATAGAAACAATGGTCCTTCATTCAAACAGAATGAAAATTTTCCAATAAATCAGATTACGTTGCACTCATGTGGCTACTAGTATTAGAATATTTCCAAAATCAGCTATAGTATCTTTGTAGAGGAGAGGAGATAGGATCTGTTGATCTATTATTGTCTTACAAGGAAATGGCACACTGCAAAGCATGCGTTCTAGAGAGCCAAGTCAAGTCAATTACATGCACATGTATACCTATTATACAAATGCATAACTGTAATTATAACAAATGCTACACCAATTACCAACTCATTTGCAAAGTATTTGAAGTGTAAAGGTTTCCCATTCACGCTCCCTTTCACTGACTTTCTCTCCCAGGTAACTACAGCTGGAGAGATTATTTTGCTTACTGTACTGTACATGCACAAATACTGATTCATATAATTTGACTTTCTTCCCCAACCTTCTCTAAACATTACATCAGACACTAAGAGCCTTTAAAGCCTAGGCCCAAAGACTTATCTAGATTAGAGTGGGCTAAAATAAAGGTGTTCAGGAGTGTGTGAAGAGCAGCACAGGGATCAGCAAACTGATCAAGACAAATCCAGCCGATCACCTGTTTTTAAATGGAGGGTGACGCATGCTCCTTTTCAGTGTCTGTGGCTGCTTTTACACTACGCCGGCAGTCGGCAGTGGCAACAGAAACCACTTAGCTCAGGAAGCCTGGAAAAGTTTTCTAATGTTTTAAAGGACCCTTGGAATCAAATGCCAGTTTTATAATATAAGGGAATTTATGGGAATCTAGGAATATCATAGGGAAAGCAAAGGAATAAGAGAGAACTAGCTCTCTCTTCCCTCCCATCTCCGAACAGTAAATTCAGAGCAGCCTCTCCAAATTATTTCATTTGCTGATATAAGACTCAGAGAAAAAAGTTTCAAAGTATACACATCATAATAAAGGATACTTTTTTCTAAAAGAAGGAACCTTATTTTCGAGACTCAGGAACCCAGCTTGTTTTATAAAGTACACAGAAAAACACATAGCTACACAATTTTTTTAAGTTATCTTACATTGTATCTATTCTAATGTTTAGTAGTAGTTTATAAATTTATTCCCACCTACTACACTTGGGAATTCACTATGATCTTCAGTAGATGTACTTAAGAAAACTTTAAGATGCAATTTAAATCATAACAAGACAATGCTTTTGAAAAAGGAATTGATAAAAAAGGTTCCAAACCAACAGGATAAATAAGGTTGCATTCTCTCCATGTTACACCTAAGTATAATCTTGTACACTAAGAAATATATAATAGCAATTAATTTTCCTGAATTATTTTATATCCTTTAATTAAAATATGTATTTTGATGACTTGTACACAATTCAATAGAGTGAAACTGCTTGGAAATGGAATTTTAAAAATCACTTTGTAGGCAAGTTTCTCAAATTAAAAAAATTGAAAATGAGTAAATGTTATTCACAAACCAGAAAAGTTGCAAAGAAAGCATCAAAACACAAGATAGGAAGAAAACTGTATCTTTCTAAGTTCTGTCACGCAAACCAAATGATACAAAGACCAGAAAAGGAGCCCACTAAATGACTTACCAACTTTGATTACTAACTTCCAACCATTTACAACTTAATGCAAAAAGAAATGTACTTTCAGTACCTACTATTCTTTGTGTGCAAGATACTTTTATAACCTGAAATACAGAATATTTTAGAATGCTACTTTAAAATCAGAATAAATAACATTTCCAGAGCTGATTTTTCAGACTAATTTAATTTGAGAATCTGTTTCAAAAATAAGTTGCAACACTTCAGAATCAACTACATTATAAAGTCTGATTATTTTAACTAAAATAACAAGACCATTAAAAAGTACAAAAAAATGTTTAGATCAGTCATATCACCATATTGTGATTCATCATTTTATGAGTAAAAAATATGCATAACATTAACAAAACTCAAAAATGCAAGCCAAGGAAATGTGATCATTTTACAATTACATGAAAACAATTTTAGAAAAATTTTAAAAACTGAGACAAATATACAAGGTCTTCAAATTTACATGTTAGTAGGTATTTAAGATTTACATTACATTAACATAGAAATGCTTCTAAGAATGTTGTATTTTACTATTTCCCAGGATCACGCACCCACCTGTCAGCAAAACACTTGAGCTCAATAGATACAAGTGTAGAGATGCTTCAGTGATTCAAAGTTCTTGAGTTCGTTCTGCCTGAATAATGACCCTAAACTGGATTATCTGAGCCTTCATGTAATAATACATGAAATGCATTACCATCTAATATGTAACAGACATTAAACATTTGCTTCTACTAACATGATTTTTATATTTTCTAAGTTCCACTTTATTCAAAAGTCCTTATGTGTATATTAAATTTCAACCTCAAACAAGTGCGTAAAAGGAGTTCAATAAATTCACCAAAATTCTATCTTTTTTTAATAAATAATATTCATATCCACATCTTGAGTAGCTTCCATGCTATAATTGTAAGACAGACAGAAATGATTGACACAAAAGGAGCTAAAATTCAATCCCAATTTCTTGTAACATAACTTGGGCTAAAAACTATTTTATTTATGTTATTCTTAGAATATGAACCAACACGGTAAGCACTAGAAAAATGATTCAAAATGAGAATTAAATGGCAATTTTTAAATAAAGACAAATTATAAATAAGATAAAGGATGGTATTCAGCAAATTGATGCTGAAAATTCAAGCGGCTTGTTCAAATCCATTGAATTACTGGTAGAACAGAGTAAAACCTGAGCATTACCCAACTTGCTCAAGCTCACCTCAGGTCTTTAATAACCCATAATGCTCTCACCTAGACAGACACAAGACCTCCCCTTCCCTCTACAACTGAGGATTCTGCTGCAGTTCATCAGTTTTCTATTCTTCATCCAATAAGGTCTCACAAGCAAGAGGTTAGATGCAAACTAGCAATTGCAAAGGAGAATGTACACAAAGGTCAAAGTGCATGGAAGCGGTGAGAAGGAAGGGCATTCACAAGGGCCTCAGGGCCTCCTTGCTGGCACTTCCCCCTAGCCTAAACTCCAGACAGAAGCCCTCAGCTCTGATCCAGACTCCCCCAAGTTTCTCAACTCCAAGGTCATGGCCAGGACAGAGCACTGAGTGAGGAAAGCCCACTGCCAACAAGCCCAGATGGAAATCTGAATGATTTTACACTAACTTTTTAATAGAAAGTAACTAAGTAGTAAGCTTGTGATTCCTATCCTTTTTCTGTTTGAAAATATGACTAGGTGAAAGATATAAATGCCCTCTAAATTCTATATAGTCTCACAGAGTTCCTGAACTTTAGTAGAAGGAGCCCTTGGTCCTTAACACTACTGAACTTTAGGTACACTACACACCAAGCAGATTCCCTGCCAGCTAAAGGACCAAAGCCATGCAGTAGTTCTTCTAAGAGAAAATATGAGTTCAAAACAATGGTTTTATAAAATAATCTCTCAAACAACCCTACCACAAGTTACATCAATATTTCTATGCTTATTTCCTTCAGATGTATTACAAAATAATTCAGTTTTTATTAAGTCCTTCCTATATGCTAACAGGTATCTTATGTGACCCTTATGTCACAGATAAAGAGGGCAGAACTATTAACTTACTATCCCAAAGGTATAAAACCAGTGCCAGAAAAGCATTCGAATGCCAAACATCTTTACCTTGTATCTTCAGAAATAGTATTTGTATAACGTTTAATGAATGGAACATTACCCTATTAATGAAGTGGTAACATAATATGTAAAAGTAAGTTATTTATTACAGACTTATACAGAGTAACAATTATAGCATAGAATAATTTCTGGCTTAATTTTTCTCTCATTTTATACATTGATTTTTGCTTCATTCAATTGAGAAATTCAGTATCAATAAACTAATAGTTTTGAGGGTCAGACACATTACACATCTATTTGTCAAGTGCTCTCAAACCAGAACTATAGATATAAATACTTACTTATCAAAGCTATCACTATTTTTGATGAAGCTCTCCAGTTTTTCCTTGGCATATTCCACCACATCTGAATGAAGCTCAATCCCATGATTTATTCCAAAAGGACCTGCAATTGTAGCAGCAGCATTTTTGTAAAAAAAATATTAATAATGCCTTTATAGAGCTCTTTTCTGTTCACTTATTATCAGGAGAATTTAAAGAGCTTGAAATATGCAAATATCTGCTAGCCCCAGATTTTAAAAACTGAATGGAAATACCACTATTTACATTGCTTTAATTAAAAAGAAAAAAGCTATATAAAAATCCTCTCAAGGGAATAGCTTATCTTTCAGTATAATGCTGCCAAAGAAGTAATTGTATTTCTATACAAAATTTAAGTTCTTTACCATTATATTTTCATTTATCATTTGTTTAAAAATTAGCAGTTCTAAGCTGCCTGAAGCCATGGGCTGACAAAGGTATTATATAACTCTCTCACACCACCCAGTAAAACCTAAATTCCTTGAAGGCTAAGACCACATTCTCTGCCTTTTGGAGCTCCCATCAGACACACTCACTGCAGAGCCGACCTTACTTTCCCATCCAGCATACTTCACTTCTCAGTTGGTATTTCTTTTTTTACAGCCAACAGCCAAGGATGAGTGACATTCCAGAAATGAGGAATAGAGGAAAGGTTTCTCAGCCCCACATGATGATCTTGGGATGACTTCTTTCCCCACCATGGTACCAACTCACTGAGAATATGACAAACATGTACACTGAATATGACTACTGAGTATACTGCCTGCGGTGTGACCCATATGAAAGGAACACACAATCTCATCTAGTTATGATAATTCCTTATGAACTTTGGAATTGGGTCAACCACATTTTCCATTCCACATTTTGTTATATTAGTGAGATTGGTCTCCTTGGAAAAAGTGGTGTGTATGTGTATTCATTTTCTGTATCTTACAATACTTATTTTCTATATCTTGTATGTATTTAGGAACTACTTAATTGGATGCGCCCCTACTGAAATGTCATTGAAAGTACAGTATATACTAGAGTTCTATCAACCTCTAGGAATTCTTAAATAACAAAAAATTTAGTCACCAGTTACTTTGTTTGAAAGTTCAGAGGGCACATGAAAAAAAACGGTTTGTGATGCAGGAACGACCTAAACTATAAAAACTAAACCAAAATGCTCAGATACTATCTTCAAGCCAAAATCAGATAAATACTTTAACCTAGTATATTTCTACATATTGCACTTGATTAGTATTATTTAGGAAACTAATTCTACTTAAAAAATGTATTCAGATAAAAAGATTAAATAAAAAGGTACTTGATCCATCAAACTACAACAGAATTAGCTTCCTTTGCAATGTTTTCATACTTTTAAAATAAATTTTTCCAATTGATGCAGTCTTAAATGCTGTGCTTCTTATTTTGTTTCCTTACTGTTGAATTGTAGGTCTTCATCTGAAAACTGGAACCTATGAAATATCATTTAACAACTCTTATAATTCCTTAATACCACCATAGATAAATCAACTAAAATGAAAATTTCTTTTCAAAAAATGAAAGGCAAAACAATTAAACTTAGAAAAGCATGACATCACTTTTAATACTGAATCTGAATATTTTGAAAACTTCAACTTCCATAAGGAAACAAAGAAACAAAGAATGTTAAGAAACACTCGTTTTCCTCACTTAAAAAACTCAAACTACAGTTACTTAACATTATTTACATACTAAGGAAAATATTGTTCTATGAAATCAATCTAATTTTCCTTTTACCTTTTTAAAGTGATCCACTGAGGGTAAAATAGATTTTCATGGCTTCCATTCAATATTTCAAACTGCCTTACTAGCAGAAGGAGTTTGGACTTTAGAGTTCTAGGCCAAAAGAGAACACCTAGGATATTTGTCATTTAAAGACACCATGGATCTCTTTTTCCTTTTCTTTCTGCTTGTTGTCTAAAAGCAAAGTGGCAACTTTTGGAAATAAAGTTTAAAGTTTGTTAAGAAAATTTCACAAGAATGTTTTCTCACATAACTTGTTTTTCCTAATACCTTGACACAAGATAAAGACAATTTAACATACAAAGGATCTATTTGACAGTATCATAAACACACATGTAGAATATACTACACATTGCTTTCTTGCACAAACACCATTTTTTTCTAAGGGATGTAATTAACATTAAAACAACATATTTTTAATTATCACCGATAAACTGCATAGTAATTAACACTGAAAATAAGGAATTTAAAAGAATGCATTAATAAAAGGCATAATTTAAAAAGTCATGTCACCAACATTGCATTTATTTAGAATGTGATAATACAACTAGAACACATCAAGTGTGTGATGCTGTTTATTACAACTCTTATTTGTCATCTGGATTAAACAGACAGAAAAAATAAAAATAGAAAACTAAAAATGTTTACATAGCTGCTTCGAAGGAAGTGGACTAAGAGGTCTGGATTGGGAAGGTGACATTTCCATCATCACACCCTTTTGTCTAATGTGTGTTTATCTATATGCATGTATAGCTTTTTCAATGAAAAAATAACGGGCTAATCAAAGAGAAGACAAAATAATAATGGTCTGGGAAGAAAAAATAATAATGGTCTGAGATTTTCAGATAAGTAAAATGAACAGTATAAAACAATTCTAATAGAAAGGTACAAGCTGTCAAAGGTATAGCATATCCAGAAGAAAGTGTTAACACTTTGTAACACCATCTAACAGATGATGAAACGTAAATTTGACTTTGTATTCAATAAACCCAATGGTATTTTGTGTTTGCCAGTGTGAAAAGATTTTTCTATAAAATAATAAAGGTTTAATTTTTGTAATACCTTTTAAAGAAAAAGGAAGTACTCTCAGTTGACCACTATTTTTAACAGCAAAATATAAAAGAGAAAATAGAAACATATACAGAAGTCGAAGTTTATTAGGACAAATGCAGTTATTAGAAAAACCTAGGTATCTTGTATATTAGAAATGATTTTTAAGGCTGGCAAAAGCCCATTTATTAAGAGTAATAACAAGTATAATAAAGTTTCAATGTAACAAAATTTAGAGACTGTTTTTCTTTTGTAGTAGTTGGATCTAATCTGGTTCAATTATTGTCTACCAATTAATCAATAATCAAAGCTTATATACAATGTTCAATAATTACTAGGTTTAGATAGCTAGGTCTCTGCAATATCTACATTTCTTATCAATGTCTATGATGACCCGCATGTGACACCCAACACTCCAGCCACCCTCCTCTGAAGTACCCTAGACAACCAGAGTGTGGCATGTAGGCTAGAAGCCTGCCTGAGGCTGGCCAGGGAAATCAAGGCCTTAACACCATGTACAAATGGAGTTTTCAATGCCTTAGTATTTCCTGTAAAGCTAATTTTATGGAGCCCAGCCACAAGCAAACAGTACTTCATAATACATAACCAGAAGACCTCTGAAAATGAACCAATTCAAGATCCATCATCACAACAGAGGACTGTGATCTACTGAGTCAAGAGAGTGAGGACTTAAGGTCGCTATCTTCATTTCCCATCCTGGCTCCCCCTCTTAACAGCTGTATAATCTGAGACCAGTCTTTCCTACTGTATAAAATGGGTCCCTGGGAAACTCATATAAATTATGTAAAAATGCATCACATACTACAAAGTACAGCATGGGTACAAATTGTTAGAAATTTACAGCATGCATAAATGCTTGTATACAGAACTAGTTATAGAAGCTTTATAGTGGTCACAACCTATATAAGCGGTTCTCAAACTTGACTTCATATTATTATAACCCATTAATTTTTTGATTGAATTAAACTGTAAATGATGGGTGCCACTCCAAACTGGAGGAGGGAACTCAAGGTACGGCCCAGGCTCTGCAGGTAACCCTAAAGGCAGCTCAGCTGGAGTGCACTAGCCACATGCTCCTAATTATTACAAAGCCTAATCTAAATGATTTTTAAAATCTTGTTGGCCTATCCCAACTGCTGTTCTCATTGGTAAAGTGATATCCACAGTAACTGTAAATAAAAGCACTTTGGATAAAACTACCTTTTTACCACAAGAGGGAGTAGGTGAATCAGTTATTTGGTTTCTATGAAAACTAGTATCAAGTTTCTTAATGAGAACTAGAATGTATATGTAAAAACATCTTTCAGTAACTTACAATGCTATTTTATTACTAATTTTAATTGTATGAAATAATACATCTTTGGAAAGATTTGTAAGTAGCTTTGTAAGAATTCAGAGACAAGAAAACAAACTCCAGATAAACGTTTACCCTTTTGTTTAAAAAAGAGAAAGAATTCAGAGACAGTAAAAGGTGAAAAGTACATATAAGTACAGGTTTCCTTCTCCCTTTCTGTGAACACCCTGGGGTGTATAATACAGCCTTAAAATAGTGCAAAGGTAGATAAAGGAAAGGGGAGAAGGAATCAGCAAAAGATGAATTAAGTACTCATTAACTTGATAAAAAGAAAATGATGTTATGTATTGCCCCTTTTTAAGATGTAAGTAATTTCTTATGGTTTCTCCATCCTACTGTATCACACTAAAAAGGCATACTGAAGCAAGACAGTATCAAAAATCTTGCCATGCTAGTTTAACCATTCTGAAGCTAACTGGATATATCTAAGATTACAGACTTGCTCTCTGCTCCCTAGGTTTAGGAAAGACCTCATGAAGCAAGTCTTGGAATTCACCAGAAAGTTCCAGTTCCAGTCTCTCAGCCTCCTCTCAGCCTGTGGGTATTGAAATGCTGCTTTCTGTTATTACAAATGAATCTCAGAAAAATGTTTACACAAAATCTCAAAGTGTTGGTTTAAACAGTTACAAAGAATGGACCCAAGCCCCTAAGTAAACTACATGTCTAAAATGTCAAAATATTAAGGACATCACAATCAATTCACTTACATATTTCTACCCAGTGGGTTGATAATACTCGTCTAATATGTCCAGAGCAACTTATGACTATATATCACACATCTATAGTAGAGATTAAGTTTCTACCAAAGCAAATTCAATAAACTGAGAAAAAATATGTTCAATTATAGCAGAGAGTAGTTTAAAAAGGTAATGTCAACACCTTTAGATCTTGAT